GAGAAACTGTATAGTTCTAGGTTTCACATTTAAGTCTTTGATCCATCTGGAGTTCGTTTTTGTGTGTGGTGTGAGGTACAGATCTTGTTTCATTTTTCTACAAATGGATCTCCAGTTTTGCCAGCACCATTTATTAAACAAACAGTCTCTTCCCCATTTAATGGATTTTGGGCCTTTTTCAAAGATCAGCTGGCTGTAACACCTGGGAATTCTTACAGAACGTTCAAATACACTTGTAGAACCATTATCTGGCAACCCTATACATGGTCTTGGATACACTCCCTGCTTCATAGCTTGTCCATCCATCTATCCACCCATTTACCCATGTTTATCTTCACTGACAATGCAGTACTGTATGTGCAAAAGGTGTCTGCATCTCCCATGTACCTCTCTCAGTCTTCCTCTTCCTCACTGTCACCGTGTTGATCACTCACATTGGGTACATTGCCTTTCTCTTCCCTCAAATCAGTACTTACCTCTACCTGTCTAACAGTGTTCCCTCCCCTCCCCTCCTACCTCTGATAACCAACAAAGAAAATTTCCTTACATATATAAACCTTTCCTTGACTTTCACAATAATGGACTAATACAATATTTGTCCTTCTGTTACTAACTTATTTCACTCAGCATAATGTCCACCAAGTTGATCCGTAAGTGGCCATTTTTGTTGTTAACGTTTCCAGTGACAAATTTTCAGAATTGTTTCAGAAATTCAGTATCATTTGCTTATTTTGCCATAGTGCCTAATGCATTTGAATGTTAACCAGAAGCCTGGTAGTTCAAACCCACCAGCCACTCCTTGGAAGGAAGATTGGGCAATATACTTCCATAGTGATACCACCTTGGAAACCCAAGGAGGTGGCACTATGAGTTGGATCCGACTTGACAGCAGTGAATTTGGTTTTGGTTTTGTATGGTATACTGTATTTTCATAGAAAAGGATTTTGTTACATGTTCATAAGTTCATACTGCCTTCAAGAGACAGTAGTGAAAAATGGCATATGCCTTATCTTGGCTGGGCAGAGAGATGGGCGTAGGATATTACTCCTTTAAACTATTAACATATCATTCTATTTTGTATTCAAGCTAGTAAGTAAGTTGATAAATTTGTTTCTCTGCTTGCTTGGTCCATTTATTTCTCTATGGTTGAGACTAAATAGCTAAGAATTAAAAGTATAGAATATCACGATTACCCTTTTTTGTGTTTCAAAACCTATGATGTTTTTCAAGAAGGTTAGCTTTTTATTAATGTTAGCATTTTTCAGAGGTGAGTCATTGTAGTTTAAGTCTTTTAGATGAACAGTTTCATGTATTTTAAGCATATTTTGTTTTGTTGTAAGTCTTACTTAAATTTTTATAAACCTTTTTTGTGATGCATAGCACCCAGTAAGAAAAGTTCACAAAACAAAAATGTTAATACATATATATACATCAAGGAATTATCACAAGCAAACACCCATATGCCACCACCAGATCAAGAAATGTTACCAGCAACCTGGAAGCCACCTTTTTTTCTTCACAAAAGTACCCAGCAGGCTGACTTACAATAATCACTCCATTGCTTTTATTTATACATTTCCTACTTAACATGTAGCCTTAAACACTATAGTTTTTCTCTTTCTCTGTCTCAATGTAATCATAAGAAACAGATTTGTGTGTCCAGCTTCTTTTGCTCAACATTACGTTCGTAGAATTCATCCATGTTATTATCTGTGGAGACACTACACTTTGTTTGTTCATGCTACATTTAAGTTGTTTTCAGTTTTTGGTATCCAAGGATAATATTTCGGTGAACATTCTTGTACATGTCTCAGTGTAAAGGTATATGTATTTCTATCGTGTGTATAACTGAGAGTAGAATTG